CTTTCATGTATAATACACATTTTCAGGCCCCTCTTGTATCGATGATATGAAATACACGTACATTGTGTTTTGTATCTTGGACAAATACTATACATAAAACAAGATTCTAAGACTTAGAGCATGGTACTTCAACTCATCACAATCAACTTTTTTAATGTAATATCTCCAGGTTATCTCACTAATAACCTAGCTACAACGAAGAAATGACTTCAAATAATTTGTATACTCGAAAAGAAAAAATTAACAACCTATTTTTTCTTTCCAGTTTTATTTTTACAATTTTTTTAATATACAAACGATATTGCAAGAATAATGCAACACAAGCCCTCGAGTGTGTTAGTACCAGCCCTTAACTATTTAAGGAAGAACAAGCTCGATCATGTTGAGATATATACATATATAGTTATTTATATTAGTTATGCTTTCGATGTATAATTATGTTCTTTTAAGTATTCTTATCAATTTTTACAGAAGGAAAAGGGAATTTTTAACAATTAGTGTTCAATTTCAAGTGATTTGAATTCAAGTTAATGTATAGTGCAACTGCTTAATCATCAAAAATATAAGCTTGTCATTTTTAAATTATAACGTATTTTCACCTTAAATTATGATATTTGCTAGGGCATCAGTAATGTTTCTAACCACCCCCCCCCCACCAAAAAAACTCCAATAAGGAGCAGCCATGTCAAGGTGACTCATGGCTACTGCATGCACCGGTCACGTGTCAACAAAAACAACCCCCTTAACATAATCCAGATATTATTATATCTCAATCGAGCGATCTTTTCACAATTCCGCGCAGAACACTGCATCAGACCAGAAGAGAAGCCGTGCATGAGCCACCGAGTGCATGCATCCGTCGTAGCCTAGAGTTTTTCTAGAATGCATTGGCATTCATGTGCGTCTTATAAAAAGGTAATGCTAGGAGGGTTAAATTTATAAATTAAATGATGTGTTATCAATAAGAATGAACACGTTTATCAATGCTTAAACAGGCCTGGCCCAAGCATAGTGCGGGCAGGGCGACCGTCCAGGGCCTAAAAAAATTAGGGGCACCAAAATTATTAGAGTGATATATTTATATATGTTTTTATAAAAGTATAAATTTATAAAATTTGGTTTAGTGACAAAGAAATTTAACTAAAACTAGTGGTTTTGTTGTTTAATATTAATGAGGATGAGATCTTAGGTTCAAAACACCATGTGTGTTTATTTATATTCCAAAGTTTACAAATTTCTTTTTATAACAATATATATTTATAAAATTTGGCTAAATGATCAAGAAGTTTAATTAGAAGCAATAGTTTTTGTTGTTTAAAATTAACGAGAGGTCATAAGTTCCAAATGCTATGTGCATGTTTATTTTTTTCAATTTTTACAAATTTTTGTTTAGTTGTTAATTTATTTACTAGCTAGTAGCTATGTAGGTTGCTATTTTTAAATATTCGTTCAAATTCAAGTCTAATCTTCAACAAACAGTAACGCGTAGGCTAAATTTTTAGACCAAATTTGCAAATAATATTACGTGTCATCAAAATGTTTAATTTAGTATTCATTCATTACTTATACATATCCTTAAAGACTCGAAAACATTATTATTTTTTTGGTCTTATATTGACAAGGTTAGTAAATAAGAAAAAATACCTCACGATATATACAAAAACACTTTAAAAGTTCAGATGGAAAACAAAACTCATAATCTATCTACTTGTAAGCCCGAAGTTTTTTTGTTTTCTTCTCTCGATACAAAATAAATTAGTTATTCTGTGTTTCTAAATTATTAAGTGTGAAGTGTTTTTCTAAATATAATTTTATCGGTATCTTACTTGTGAAAACAAATAAATTTTTTTATATGAAATGAGGGTACAATTTTTGGCATCGTCCCAGGCCTAAAAAAATCTTTGGACCGGCCATGCGCCTAAGTAATAAACCAATCATTAATTTTTATGTCATTTAGTTTTCAAAATTTAGTCTACAAATTTAGTCTCCATAGCATTACTCATTGGTATTACCCAACAACGCCCGAAAAGCTGCCATGTGTCCGGGTGGGCAACCTGAAACTGGAGAAATTTTTAGTTGTGACCGAAACACAAATGGTACACTACGTGTTTTAATAGGAATGATGAGAAATTTTATTTTTTAAGTTATTAACTTTTTAGTACACATATCACACCATTTATTTAGTGACACGTTGTGTACCACCCTGTGTACCGATCACACTAAAAAATCTTTCCTGAAACTGCGGCTGCCATGCTTGATTGTCGAGGCCCCTCCAACACCTTCTACGATAGACTTTTCATGTCCAAATAAATTTCAGCACAGGTGTTTTTTTATTTGCCCTTTTAAATTGACGCGAAACTGTTGTTTCATTTAAAAATTATTTGAGATATTTCTGGTGGATTATATTAGATTTAATTGGTATTTTAAGGTTTCATTATTGTTTAATGTTTTTCCAGCTTTTTTTTTTTTTTTAAAGTTTATTTTAGCAATTGTTAGGCAATTTGTCAAAGGGGTAAAAAAGGTTTATGCAAACAATTGTTGAGCAATTCCCCCAAAAGTAAAAGCGAGGGATAAAAAGATTACGAACGCCTTCCAATTGGTTGCTCTTTTTGTATTTCCAGCCGACAATACAAAACCTGGCCAGGTCATGGAGCGTGCTCTTCACGGCCAGGGATCTGCTGTCTCCAATTTCATGTCTTTTTATTAGTTTTTTAACATGTGTCTCCTCACTTGACTCTAAAATTAACACCGTTGACAATTTATATATAACTATATTAAAAAAAAAAACTAAAGAATTGCAGAAATTGCCATTCACGCCCAAATCCCCTGCGACCGGGCCTCTTCTCCTCCATCAGGCCGTTCACGCCCAAATCGCAGTTCAATCAGCTCTTCGTATTAATAAGTAAATGGCAGCAAATCGATTTTTAATCCTTCTATGGCTGCAAATTGATGTTTAATCATTCTATGGCAGCAAATCATTGTTTAATTGTTTAATGGGGAGTCCTAATTAGTTCACCCCCAAGTGTTATCCTATATGGCAGCAAATTGACCTCCAATCGCAGCCGCGATTTGAAGCGGTTTGAGAAGAATCCCGGACAAGATTAAGACATTGAAGGTGGTTGTGCAAGGGAAGGAAAAGGTTCTGAAAATCAGGGGCTTTGACAACGACGGTGAGGACGAGGAGGCAGACTTTATTTGACTGTTCGTTTTTGGGTGTGGTTGTCGGTGTTTATTTGACTGTTCATGTTTTTTTTTTTTTGGTTTTTTTTTTCAATTAGTTATATATAATAATTAACTATGTTAATTTCACAGTTAAGTGGAGACACATTCAAAAAACTAATAAAGAGACACCAAGGAGACATGAAATTGGGAACAGCAGATCCTTGGCCACTCTTCACAGGCCCACCCCAAAATACTGTCGCGCACATATTGCAGCGTGTCTCTCAAATATTTTCATTACGGAAAAATGGTAGGTTTAACTTCATAATCGATTAATAATAATATGGTTTAAATTCGTTTTTTATTAGAATTAAATTTAACACTTCTTACTTACAAAAAAATAATAATATAAAATAACATCTTTCAGTTATAAACTTCTACTCTCCCCACTCTTAACGGTTTCTCAATTTCCTATTTCCTTGTTTAATATTTTAAGAAAATTATTTGAGTTCATATGATCTCATTCTACACTTAAATTATTTCTAACTCTATCTCTTTAAATTCAATGTTACTACCTAAATTACTACCAATTCAATATGTACATTTATCTTACACCCATTTAAAAAATAAAATCTCAACATCAAGGCATACGTTCCCTCCTTCCAATAGGTAGGTAGTCTTTCCCTTTGATTCTTCATGATTTAATAGAAATACAAATTGAAATCGAACTTAATAAGAATTGGTGAGAACTAATTTATCGTTTGAGTTTACGGGAGGATGACAAAAGGATGCTGGCAACACTAGAACACTTGTTTTGGATGGAGTCTCCATCACCCTCTACACAAAGGGGGTGTTGGGAGTGTCCACAAAATGCAGTGGTACAAGGCCTGAATTTATGGGGGGCCCACAAATTTTTAATCCTCCTATAAATTACAAATGAGTATAAATTTTTTAGTAAAAAAAATTTAATTGAAAAGAAAAATCATCATCATATGATTTCTTTATTACAATTGATTAAGTGGAGCTTATATATATATATATATATATATATATATATATATATATAAAAAAAAAAAAGGGACAACTGATGGCAAGCCACGGTTATCTACTTCTTCAGGGCCCGAAAAGGATATGGGGAATTTCACCTTACCCGTGACCACAATCAAGCCACTGTTATACTTAATATATTATTTTTTTTCACTTTTCTATTAATAAAAAATTGTGTATTACATTTTTCCACTTTTCTGTAGCAATAAAAAACTAACTTGTGTATTATTTTCTTCCACAAACACAAGAGTGCTATTGTATCTCTCTTTTAGTTCAGGTCATTTTCGTGATTGAACCCTAAATCATGATTATACAATTGGGTAAAAAATACATTTCACATTTAATGTTTAAATTGGGTGGGTGCTAAGTGAGGTTATATGGGTTCAAATAAAAGTTCTTAAGATTTTATTGTAAAAAGCAACTAGTACAAAATTTAGGAATATTAAGTGAGAGATTTCAGGTTTGATTAACACGTACGGACGACAAGAAAGTTTGATATATGTGTCAAGACCAAAACTTAGTTATGACGAACCCATTAGGTAATTTGTTTGTAGCAGAATATCATTGTATCTAATAAAAAAAAAAACAGAAATTCATACTCCAAAGCCATACAAAAATATGCACCATATCTTCCCCTATATATACCCCATCATCAGCCAGTGTTTGGTTCAAACTCAAAAGCCACTCCTCATTTCCTTCTTTTTTTCTCACTGCAAAAGGAAGCCAACCCTACTCTCTCTCCCTCTCTCTCTCTCTCTCTCTCTCTCTCTCTCTCTCTCAGACTATTAGTCGCCATGAAAACAGAGATAGAGATAGAAAGGCTATGGGTATTTGCCCTGACTGCCAAATGCAGAGCTTTCTTTCCTGAAAGCATTGCATGCATGCTTCTCATCGTTTCCCTCACATGGCTTCTCATCTCCTTAATTTACTGGTCTCACCCGGGAGGCCCAGCCTAAGGCCGCAACATCAAAATAATCGGTCCCTTTTCCAAAAGGCCCACAATTCCGGGGCCCAGAGGCCTGCCTCTCATAGGCAGCATGTCCCTAATGACCTCCCTGGCCCATTGCAAAATCGCCTCCGCTGCCCAATCCCTCCACGCCACGCGACTCATGGCCTTCAGCCTCGGCCAAACCAGAGTCATCGTCACGTGCCACCCCGACGTCGCCAGAGAAATCCTCAACAGTTCCGTCTTCGCCGACCACCCCGTCAAGGAATCCGCCTACTCCCTCATGTTCAACCGGGCCATCGGGTTCGCCCCCAACGGCGTCTACTAGCGGACCCTCAGGTGTATCTCCGCCGCCCACCTCTTCTCCCCCAAGAAAATCAAGGCCGCTGAGGCCCAGAGAAGGGACATAGCTTCTCAAATGACGGTAATGTTCGAGACCCACGAGGAGAAATTGGCCGTTTGTAATGTGATCAAGTGGGCGTCGCTGAACAACATGATGTGCTTTGTTTTTGGCCGGAAGTACGAGCTCGAAGTCGGTGCTGCCGTGGACAGTGAAGTCGAAGAGCTCAAAGGGTTGGTAGACGAAGGCTACGATTTGTTGGGTATGTTAAATTGGTCCAATCATCTTCCCTGGTTGGCCGATTTTGATGCCCAGAAAATCCGGTTCAGATGCTCCAATCTCGTCCCCAAAGTGAACCGTTTCATCTCAAGAATCATTTCCAAGCACCGAACCGGTCTGAAATTCGAAAAAGATGAAAAGGCCCCTAACTTTGTCGACGTTCTTATTTCCCTCCAAGGAATCGATAAGTTGTCCGACACCGATATGATCGTCGTCCTTTGGGTAAGAATTTAAACCGCTATCTCTAGATATTTTTTACTCAGATTTTAAATAAAATCTTCTCGTCTCTAAACGACTTCGTTTGTTGTATAGGAAATGATATTTAGAGGGACGAACACCGTGGCGGTTCTGATCGAGTGGATTCTAGCAAGGATGGTACTGCACCCTGTTGTTCAATCGACGATCCATGATGAGCTAGATAAAGTGGTTGGAAGGTAGCGAGCCGTCGAGGAGACGGATATCTCCCCGCTGGTGTATCTAACGGCTGTGGTGAAAGAGGTCTTGAGGATGCACCCACCGGGCCCACTTTTATCTTGGGCCCGCCTGGCGATCACTGATACAATGATTGATGGATATCATGTGCCCGCAGGGACCACAACCATGGTGAATATGTGGGAAATCTCTCGGGACCTAGAGTTTTGGCCGGACCCACTACAGTTTAAGCCCGAGAGGTTTATGCCTCGGGAGGGAGAACATGAGTTTTTGGTTTTCGGGTCGGATCTTAGGCTTGCGCCGTTTGGGTCGGGTAGGCAGACTTGCCCGGGAAAGGCTATGGGATTGACCACGGTGACGTTTTGGGTGGCGTCGCTTTTACACGAGTATGAGTGGCAGCCGTCGGATGGGAATACCGTGGACTTATCGGAGGTTCTAAGGCTGTCATGTGAGATGGCTAGCCCTCTGGTTGCTAAAGTGTGCCCAAGGCGTAGTAGGGTAACCATAACTCACTAAGGTTTTAGCAGTAGCAGAAAAAAAAAAAAAAAAAAAAAAAGAGCAAGCAAAAATGAATGCATGTAAAAACATACACCCTTTACATCTTTGGACTTGTGTCTAGGTCTGTTACTATCTTGGATGCCAAGGTACCTTAAATCTTAAGTAATGTAAGTAATGGTGGAAATCAATACAAGTTTTAGTTTCCTAAAGACCTGCATTTACATGCATGCATTCGAGCATTTGGTAATTTAAACTGAACAAAGTAGCCATTCATAGTCGACATGACATAACTTAGAATATTACAAGAGCTTCACGTCTCATGCGAGAGAGTTCTAAATATGCGAAGGTAACTTCTATTAGAAGCAAATATATAATGATATTCAAACATTTGGTCATGGAAAACCTTGGTTCAAAGAGACTATTTCTAGAGTTCAAAACCTAATTGGTATTTCTTTAAGCCTCAAACGCTATATAGTTCGAAACCAATCGCTTAGTTCTACATATTGACATATCTAACAATATAATAAGAACATCACATCTCATTCTCATTCTAAGAGAAAGAGTTGGAAAATGCGAAACTAACAATAATTTCTTTCTATTACTAGCAAATTAAATGATATTCAAACAATGGTTACGTTAGTGGAAGAACTTGGTTCAAAGAGACTATTTCTAGAGTTGAAACCTAATTGATATTTCTTCGAGCATATCTAATACATGCAAACTAGCTTATGCAAAAGTGTTATTTAGCCTCAATTGAAAAGATTCAATTTCTAATGAGACATATCAAGCCTAGGATAAAATAACCCATGACTCCCCAAGGGGCTAGTTTAGTCTTGGTTCTTACCCAAGGCTCTTGAAGGATCGATCAACTAGGAAATTTTCAATGGAGAGGGCTAAAAGTCTAATTAAAAGTTAAAAAAAATAATGACCTGATTTGTCCAAAAACTCATCTCCAATCGATGACTGTGCTATAATTCTATAGAGCTCACTAGACCATTATTTGACTAAAGGCGCACCAGGCTGGGCAAATGTGGCCCCCTTCTTATCCCATTTTTGAGGTCCAACTCATCAGTTGCAATAATTGCATTAAATTCAACGGCTAGACTTGAAAACATCCAACTTTAGTTTAATTAAATTAACCAACATATTTAAAGTATAAACTTAAAACTAATAAATTATTGAGGGGGCTATGTTTAATCCATTTGGTTGAAGATGATATATGAGTATCGCTTGACATTGTTCATTTAAAAATAATTCTTTGCAGGACTATAATTCTAAACAAGGCTATGTTTAGCCCTTTTGGTTAGATATGACCGTAGAAAGAAATTGGTAGCCAATAAAAACTAGTCACCTAACACTTTTTAGCTCATTACCTCTCATACTATTGAAAAAACAAAATTTTGAAAGGGCTAAATCACATGAATAATGGTATTTTGAAAGGCCAACTAAAGCCCCTAGCCCCTAACTCTTGCCCTTTCGACTAATGACTCAACCATCATATAGTTCGAAATCAATGGATTATTGTATATATTTTCTGAGAAATGTTCATATATTAGGACTGGTGACTTTTTTTCGGTGAATGAGTCAACACTCAAACAACAATTAATTAATTAAATCACAATCAAAGAATGATAATGACCCTTAATTTTATTTCCTATGTATATATGTGTGTGAGAGGTAAGCATGCACTGGGGCTGCCTCTGCATGCCGGGCTATATAATTTTTTACCTTAAAATGATGTGGCTTTTGTTGTCCACTGGACCACAACCCTTTCGGCTATTTTGACTCTTACAATTGGGGACATATATGTTCAATTGACGGACAATATAACGATTCATAAATCTTCCTCTTATCCACATGCATATGACATGTCACGACACCGCATCTTCTTTTTCTCATACAAGCGATATATTAGGGAAGTTGAGTTAAAACATAAGACACTGGGTGCACAGGTGAACGTCCATTGGAACTACAAATCCGTTTGTCATGACTTATGGCTTAGAAATTAATTAGCCAAACAATGTATACCATGAGAGAAATTGAGATTTTATAAATCAATTGACCATATAGAGAGTCTGTCGTCCAACTTGTTCGTGGCTAGAATTTCCGTTGGGGATGTTTCCTAGCCAACGAGCACACAACTCCCCAAGAGGTTGGTGCCGGTTGATGCTTTATGTCGGGCTTCTGCTTACTGGCGGGCAGGGCTTGTCGGGCAATGCTGAAAGAGAAGGACAGAGTTAACTTTGAAAGGTGCCTTTGTGGGGCCTTAGGTGTAGGCCTTAAGGCTCACAATCAAGATTAACTTTTAGGTGCTCAGGCGTGCCACTGCCATCTTTAGCATGGCAGATGTAAAACAGATGTTGAGTTTTAGTTGTATATATACCCGAGATGCCGTGTTAGTTATGACAGGTGCCTTTGTGGGGCCTTAGGTGTAGGCCTTGAGGCTCTCAGTCAATAACTAACCCAGTACTCGAACATATAATGTTTGTTTCATTGATTGCAAAAGTGTTATAACCATTATACTTCTAATTACCCGAGCCCGAAGAGCAGAATGAATTCAAATAGGTGCCTTTGTAGGGCCTTAGATATAGGCCTTGAGGCTTCCCATCACAACTCCTTCTATACTCAAATGTTCTATGATAATCATAATATAACAGAAATAAAACTAAGGGATAGGTCGATTACTTGATAATCATAATATAACAGAAATAAAACTAAGGGATAGGTCGATTACTTACGCCCAAAGTAACTTCGGACTTCTTGTTTATCAAGGACTGTCGTGGATGGTTTAAGTCCACATAAGGTTCTTTTTTATGCCTTGAGACCAAGGACTTTTGAATGATCAATCTTACATGCCCGAAGGCTTAGAACTTAGATATGATTTAAAATGTGAAGACACATTTCAATCGGATTTCAGAACTGAGGAGTCTTTTAATCACCAACTTGCTAGAAATAACTTGGATACAACTGAAACTATACAACATATTGCTAGACTAATGAATGAAAAAACAAAACCAAAGAAGGTCGGGCAAGGCTGATCGTCTTGCAACTTCCTATCTTTGTGATTTATCAAGGTGTTTGAAAGCTTAGAAAGAGGGATAGGGAGATGAGTTTACAAAAGGAAATCGATACTACAACAAGATTTAGACAAGGTAGCAGAGCTATTACAAAGGCTTTTGGTGAGGGTTGATCCTAAAAGGGATGAAGGCTTGGGCTGACTACAGTTTCGTTGAAGGCAAATCTGGTTTGAGCAGAGTTTGTGCTTGTATTTTTTTGTTTGATTGAGTGTCTTTATCTTTGATTTCTCTTTCTTCTTTATAGACACTTCGGCTTAGCCTCCTGTAGCATTAATCTTGCCCTAATGCAGCTTGAAGGGTAGTGACTCATCAGCTTTTTACTTGTACTGCCACTGTAAAGTACTTTTGGGCTGATTAGCTGGCTGGTCTACACCACTTGGTCTCTAAGCAGGTGAGCAAGTGGTTCAAATGGCCTGCACGTAGTCAGAAAAAGGCCTCTCCTGCCTTCTGGGCTTTGGCTGGGCTTCGGGCTTTTTCCCCTTCTAGATCTCCTTTTGGGCCAACTCCTTCTTGAGCCCAAAATTCAAGTTTTAACCCAAATAGTGCCCCCTTCAATTAATATTCAAAATGGAATTCCAGGCACCAATATTGATTGAAAAGCTCCCCATTATACCCACGTCTCTTTCTCTCCGGATTTGCACACTTTCTAAAGATAATCGTCACTTTCCTGCGATCATTCCACTAACCCACGAATCCTCTGCTTTCTTAGCACGAAATCCCTCTGCAATTGAAAATTTCCTAACTTCCCAGACGTTTTACTTCTCTAAATCTTTCAAACTCTCTTTTGCTCTTTGCCCGATATTTTCTACCCTTGTCGTCTTCTTTGTCGTTCCTCTTCCAAACTTCATCAAATGGCTTCAGGATCCAGCCAAATCCAACTATCCTATGAATCTGGCGAAGGCATCGCCACTTTGCACCATTTACTCAACGGACTGCATCGCCCTCGGGCAGGTTTGTATTCTAAGCTTTTCTTTGAAGTGCATGGGGCATAATCGTTGGGTCCTGCATGGATTTCTCGGGTCCCTGCAGTGATAGAGAACAATATGTCTCAGGAGAACTGGTTTTCCCCAAATCCCTTTTTGGCTAAGTTGGGCATTTCTTCATCCAAGTGGTCGTCATATCGTCGAGGCTTTCCTTTGATAAACGATCCGGCTTGGGCTCAGTGGATCGATGCACTAGAGCCAACTTTTAAGAAGAAATTGATGAATAACGGCATTTATGAATTGATAATGCTCTAAAAAACTGCCATTATTCTCAAGCCCGAACTGCTTGCTTCTTCTCTTCTTTTCTGGAATTCGGGCACAAACACTTTGATTTTCGTATGGGTCCCATGTCTTAGACTGTTCTTGACATGGCCCAGGTCTTCGGGCTAAGGCCATCGGGCAGGATAGTGGACGTTACTCAAGACTGGGCTCCCCTTTCAATTGCTGAAAGCTCAGGTTCATCCGCCTCTTTCCTTTCCTTGGAATATAATTATGCAACCTTCAAGAGTTACGGGACCTCCTTCAAGGGATTCATCCCTTTTGTAAAGGAGAATTTTGGAGCAGATTCTTCTCATGTTGATAAAGTTCAAGAGCACATGTATTTCCTCTTATACTGGCTCAACAAACATGTCTTCCCCAATAAATCTAAAAGAGTGAAGGTTGAATGGATCCCCTTGGTAGAAGCTCTTCATAATTTTGATGATGTAGCCACGGGTCCATTCCTTCTTTCTCATCTTTACCATCTTCTTTTTGAAATGACTCAGGGCGAGCCATTTGAAACCAACCTGAATGGACCCATATGGATTATCCAAACATGGCTTCAATGGTATTTCCCAGAGTTTCGGGCTGCTAATTTAGAGTTCCCAGAAGGTGTAGCCCCTGCTCGAATCTTAGCTGAAGCTGCTCCTATAGATCATTCCACTTTTGCCTGCTTCTACTTCTTCAAGGTCTGCAGAAC